TACTGCCAGAATTGCGACCTGCAGGACAGACCAGGCAATCTCTCCGACAACATCTTCAACAACGCTGAACCACACCTGTGCGAGCACCCCCGCGCGCGTGCAAGGGTTCAGGAACTCGGCCACCTTCGCGGAAGCTGCCGAAGGAAGACTAAGCCTGAAAGAAAGAGGAAGGTCTTCAGAGGACCTGGGCAATTCCACCATCCACGGGCAGCTAGATTCACATCAAATCTGTGCAGAGCAAGCGTGTGCCCCCTTCGATAGACCCCCCCGGGGTCTTTCAGGGGCGTCTGGAAGCGAGTGGATAGGGAGGGCCGCCTAGAAACATCCGTCGCCTCCAAGACGACGAGGAGCGAAGAGGGGGATGACTGGGGAGACGAACAATAATAATAATGATGATGGCAAAGGCTACAAGAAACCACACTCGGGCCAACAAAGGGGGGGCGTACTCGGTGAGCGGCTCCACAAGCCTCTGCGGCTCTCACAAAGAAACAATGTGCGGAACCCTCGTTGGGGACTTCCCGGGCCTATCAGGAGGAGGGTCGAAGTTAAGCATCACTCGAATGGTCTTCAGAACTGACGGGTGACGTGGCTTATCACCTCTACGGATCCCACTGGGCCCGCACAGCGCATGACGTAATATCATGAAACACAAACTGGAGAAACCGGTCCAACCTTGGTGCCTCCCACGTCCAACGGAATCCGGCGAAACTTCCCGCGACCCGCTTGCGACTTCGTGCTATAAGACGCTCGGGAAGAGCCAACCGTGAGAGGCACCCAAGCGAACGCTGACGACGAGGGTGCCAAAAACTGTCGGGACGCTGGGACACCCGCGGCTTTTCGGGACGATCCAGGCACCCCCAGAACGCTCTCGGCGAGGCGCAGCTGCTGGAACGCATTCCGAAGTGAAAGGCCGCTGAAAGTCGACGAAGACGCCAGAAAATCCAGCACTTCCCCCCCCCCCCCTGGGCTCGACGCCGATCCTGAGAGGCGGAGGCTGCGCCCGACGGCAGCGCCTCGGGGCCCGAAGAGCACGAACTTCGGTGCGGCGAACGGAGGCTCCCCAAATGCTGCCAGCGAACGGCCTCCGCGGCCAAGAACGGTGGGAGGCCTTCGACCCCTCGGTGACCCGGCCAATTTCTTCCTCGGGCTCTGGCGCACGTGAAAAGGGGAATGGCTCGGCGCACCCTCACGGTTTCCTCAAGGCCTCTTCATGCGATGCATCGCCGATGGATCGGCAAAGGATGCGCACCCGGCGATGAATGGGCGATGAGAGTTCTCCATGTAGCAGGTACCTGGCGCGGCAAGCGCGCGCTCTCTCTCGCTTGAGGGGGGATGAAGCAAAGAAGGCTCGCAGAGGGGGCAGAGGTCGCCTTGGCGGCATAGCGGGGATGCCAGGTGGGAGAGGCCTGCGGGCAGGACTGAATCTCTGCCCAGCTGGTCGGGGGATCCTGGTGGCGCCCGTGGAGGCAGCGGGTCAAGACAGCTCCAGAGCGGCTCCAGGACGGCCTGCCAAGGCCCACGGGGCTCCCAACATCCTGCCTCGCCCTCCTTTTCCTCCTCCTCCTCCTCCTCCTCCTCCCGTTCCTTTTTCGCCTTTTACGCCCTGTGGGGAAGGGCGGCCAATGGCAAACCCCACATCCTCCTTGTCTTGCTGCTCATCCTTTTCTGCCCATCCCTCTTTCCGGTGCCTCCGATCCAACTCCTCCTCCCAACATTCAGGCGGAGGTGGGCAAGGAGGGAGGAGTGCATATTGCGGAAGAGAGGAGGGGGAGGGGAGTAGGGATGGAAAACGAGAAGTTTAACGGGGGCAATACGACCGAGGCGAAAACAGAGGAGGAAGAGGAGGCGTAGGGGAGGACGAGGATAAGGAGAATAGCGGAATGGGGATGCGAAGAAAGAGGAAGGGAGAAGGAGGAGGAGGAGGAGGAGGAGGCGGAGCGTAGCTGAAGGAGTCCCACATCCCGAACTACCCGTATCTGCACTGCCTTCCCTGCCCCTCTCCTTGCGAGAGTACGCAGCGCGGGCCTGCATGATGGCATACTTCACCTGCCAAGGGGCCTGAGAGGGAGGCCTGCTCCTCGGCAGACAGCACCTTGACCGCAACGTTGTTGCGAGGCATGTCATAATCCACGAATTGGAAGAGGGTGAGGTGGAGCGGGGACGAGGCCTCATCGGAGCGAGGGGAACGATGGAGGAGAGGACTCGATTCAGACGGCGCCTGAGTTTGAGGCCCGCTTGCATACAATGCCTGCTCTTCGGCAGAGATTACCCTGACCCTACTCGGGTCTCGGGGCATTTCATAATCAACGAAACGAAATTCGACTAGCTCGTCCTCCCGACTGAGTCCGAGCCAAGAGGGGGGATCATGAGGGATCGGAGAGAGAGGTGGGTGGGGCGACACCAGCCATGGGAGACCTATTGCTTCAGAGCCCCGAGCCTCACACGATGGGCCGTGCTCCTCTGGGTCTCCTCGGGCCGCCTCGATGGACTCACGAAGAGTGGGACGACGAAGAAGTGCCAACTGCTGTCGACCACGAAGAGGGGGCCTCACCGCGAGCTGCGCGGCAGGGACGAGCTCCAGCGCTCTCCTGTACGTAGGCGGGGAGCTGTGCCGTGCCGCCATCAGCCGATAGTGGTGGTAGCAGGCGATGAGAGCGGCAGGAGTCGGCCCCCCCAGTCCAAGTCGATGCCGAATCTCACCTGGGAGATCTTCTCGAAGAGTGAGGGCGCCGAAGTGTAGGCACCGATGGCACTCCGTCAGATAATGTCGCATAGTGTCTGGGCCGCCACAACCATAGATACACCGTGCCTCACGTTGCATACGTCGGTGAGCGATCCAACCCCCTAGGTACGACCTCACACATATGAAGGCCCAAGATGCGGGCATAATCTGCAATTGGCTGAGGACAGATGGCCAGCACACATCCTGAATACCAAAGTGCTTCTGCACGCGGGCGGAGAGCAGCTCCAGAAGTCTGTCGGGGAAGACTGCGCGCTGAAAGATGTCGGTGAAGGCCGCCTGCCACTTGGGTGCTCGGGAACATCGGAGTCCTTGTCCCTCAACTGGCTCTGGGACGCGACGAGCGAGGCTCCATGGAAGCGGGCAAGGATTGGGCTCAGCTCGGAAGAACTCGATCACCTCTGCGGGGACGGACGAGTCGCCGCCTTCCCATAGACTCAATGCCATTCGCCCTCCCTCTTTCAGCACCTTGGACGATGGGAAGCCCCTCGCCGCCTCTTCCAGGCGGCAAGCAAACGGTGGTGCCCTCCAAAAGCTCGGGGCCAGGACGTCACTGGCAGCCTGGGAGAACGTGCCATATTCCCAGAGGAGATCCCGATGTCGCTGTAGCTGCTCGCGCCATGTCGAACATGTGATCAAAGCTGCTCGAAGCCGTGCGGCAGCAGCAACGCAGAAGACAGAGCTGAACTTCGGGCCATTCACTGTACTTAGCGCGAAGCAGTCACCAGTCCGAAGCATACTAGCTGGTGTGCGCATGATGCGAGCCAGCAGAAAGCGTTGCTGTTGCCCAACCCTCCACGGAAGGGGAACCAGCTGGGCCACGTACGACAGTGTTGGAGCGGCTCTCTGACGATAAAGAGCGGCAGCCGTGGAGAGAGCTGCGCCCTGCGAGGAAATTGCCGTAGCACGAGTGGCATGCTTGAGGACAGGAGTTGACCATTGACTATCATCAGTGGCTCCAGGCCCAATCTGAAATCCAAGATACGTACACGCTGAAACAATCGCAAAGTCTGCCCAGGCGGGGTCGGCGCCCACAAGTTGGTGTCGAAGAAGGGTTCCGTGCTCAGGCATAGACGGGTCACGAAGAGGAATCACATTGCATTTGGCAGGCTTAAGTCGTAGCTGAGCAAACCTCGAAGCATGTCGGAATACTCGAGCCAAACGTGGATACGCTCTGTTGTGGAAGAGGACTGCCCCGAGATCATCCGCGCATGCACGAACCACCCCCAAGAGACGCCCACGTGCAACTAGACAATGTTCTAAGTCCAGAAGGAACGGGTTGCTCGCGATCACATAGAGCGAACCACTCAGCGGACAGCCCTGTAGCACCCCAGAGTTCATGTGGTATAGGTACGTCGGAGAGTCGCCGACGAAGTAGCATGGAGTGCAGTGGTAGAGGGAGCGAAGAGCGCGGACCAGAGGGGCAGGAATACGGAGTCGGGCGAGACATTGGAATAGCCACTCCTGGGATACCGACGGGAAGGCCTGGGCAAAGTCAAACGCGATCAACGACGGTGCCTGGGAGGACGCAGTAGACATAATACTGGCTGACCGAGCGTAGAGGTCCAAATCGACAATATTATCCAGAAAATTTCGCCTCCGAATAAAGCCCCTTTGGGATGGAGCCCCGATCCTCTGCGTTACCCAGCTCATAGTCTGGTTCAGCACGCTGCACACCACTTTATTCGAGGAGTTCTTGAGCCCGAGCGGGCGGGTATCACCAGGGGCCCGAACAACACCACCATCGTCAGGATCATGGGAGGGGTCCTTGGGGTCCTTAGGGAGGAAGACGGCCAGCAACGCAGTGAAATTGGAGGGCATGTAGTTCCCAAGAGCAATCCAGCGGAGAACTTCGAGAAGGACCCTCGACCCCGACCCACACCTCCAGGCCGCATAGTGAAGCCCATCGGGGCCAGGAGCGGACCAGTTCGACTGTTTCAGCGCACGTTCCACATCTCGAAGGATGGGTGGGCGAACCTCTGAAAAGTCCTCTGAGCTGCTGAATCGGTCTATGTATCTCTTGGCGACGGCGGGGACGGAGTGGGTCTTGGAGAACACGGGGCCCCAATATGAGGCCAAAGCATCCACCATCGGGGCTTGGGAGGTAGGTGCCTGTTCCGACGTCAGTGGGCCGCCCGCCAGCATCTCCGAAACCGAGACAATCTCATTCGACTTGACCGATGCTAAGTACTTACGCCGACACAACGGATTCCATAACTGAGCAGACCTAATGATAGCACGACGACGCCCAGCTAGACGAAACCTGACCGTGCTCGACGACGACTGGTTGATCTCTGACTCGAGAGCTTTCTTTCTGGATTCTGCTTCTTGCTGCTGCCACAAGCTATGGAGATCATGGAAGCCACCAGGATCAATGAAAGATACGGTCTCGCCATCCACACGTATGAGACTCTGCGTCCAGGGATGCTGGAATAGGAGAACACGGGCAAGACGGGCATCGTTACGCCAGACACATCGCGCAACAGAACGAGAAATCATAGCCCGAGAGGTCAGCGATGATGGCGCGGCACGGCAGATGGCATTGCGTGCAAGAAGTCCAGCAGCTTGCCGGACAGCGGTAGCAGCAGCAAGCATGCGCGGCGGGTCGAAAGCGAGATCCTCAATGCCCACCTGGGATTCCATGTGGGAGACTAGCTGGGCGTAAATTTTGTCTTTGTACACCCAACGCGGGAGGGGCCTCTGTCGTTTCATTCTGGAGTGATCCCGCGGGCGCCAGATGACCTCCAGGGGCGAATGGTCAGAAATACCCCGATGGGCCAACTCATGGGGTTCATCACGGACTGATACTAGCTGAGCAGTTTGACACAATAGCCATGGCGGTGAGGCGACAAAGAGACGATCGATTTTGGACTCGCATGCAGTCGAGGCGTGCCAGTGGGTCGGCGCCTCCGAGGCGAGCTCCGTCATCTCCCTGAAGATCTTGAGCCAGCTCGAGTCGCCAGGACGGGACGCCCGAGTAGAGCCAACCCGCAGGGTGGAGTCTCCCCGTTGGGCACCATCAGCCTGCGACGAAGCATGTGTGGCCTGCCTCCCCTGTGAAGCCCTCGTCGGCGCGGTACTGGAGGAAGCTGCAAGTGGTTGGGAGGATGCAGGAGACGAAGCTGAAGAAGAGGACGGACTCGGAGAACATGGCCCAGAAGGTGGTGTGCAGGTGGCCGTCGTGGTCCTCGATGCAGCCGAACTCGGAGTGCATGTGGCTGTGGGGTGGTGACTTTGCAGGGCTGAATCCTGCCCCCCACGGCCTGACGAACATGGAGTACTGGTGTGATCCTCTCCCCGATGGTGCTCGATGGGCTTCGCAGGAATGTTGAAGTCGCCCGTGAGGATCACCGTGTACTTCATCGGCTCATCGCGCACTCGCCGAAGCTGAGATTTTATACATGCTTGGATCTCCTTCAGACCAGCGGCGTCGATGGCAAAATTGTGCACGTTCCAGTGGTAGATGGTGAAGTCGACCACTGAATTATGGATAGTGACCAGAAGAACCCGACCAGCGACAAAGCTCTTACCCTTGGCTCGAACGCGTGGGTCCTTGGGAACGAGTGTGGCGACGCCTCCAGTCCGCGGCTTCTCGGACTCAGAAACGAAGCATGAATGCGAAGTACAGTGAATCCTCTGAAGAGCCTCTTCCATAGCGTATTCACCACCGTGGATCTCCTGTATCGCCACTACTTTTCCAGCACCCAACAGTTTGCTCAGATAGCTGAGTTTCCTGCTCAAAATCGCTGGTCTGTAGTGTAACAGGGCCCCTGAATTCCAGGTCGTGAAAGCTAGAAACCCCACGCCAAACATCTCGTTACCCACTCCACCGTACTTCACGTGTGTCGAAGACCTGGCGAACCAGCTCGTTGGCCTCCTCCCTGGACAAGCAATTGTCGGCCAGTGCAGATAGGTTCCATTCCACTTTCGGCGTTCTGCTCGCAGGTAATGGGAGCACTCGTACCAGGGGCTCCCACTTGGCCATGAGTTGACCATTATCCTTGTCGAGGAAAGTGCGGATGCCACGGTCAGCGAGACACCTCTGCAGCTTCTTGCATGCAATTTCTGTGGCGACCATCTTCTTGTTCTTATCCGCGGAAATATGGATCGGAACAGACTCAGTGCCCACGTCAACCTGGAATGCGCGCCATGAACCATTTGGCAGACGGAGCTGTTGCTGGGCCTGACTCCTTCTCGAAGAACGGGTAGCTTCCATGGGCCCTTGAAATGCGAGAGTGAATGATTTGGCGACATCATCTCCGTGAAGTTCCACTCCATCCCCGAGAGGGACATTCGCTTCGGAGAGCCAAGGAGCCACTGCCGCCGCGACAGCATTCTTAGCGACAGCCGATGATGCCCGCACTGTGAGGATGGTGAGATCCACATCCCTGTCCCACTCTGGATTCGGAACAACAGGAGGACGTGGCTTCGCCTTTGCGAGGTCCAGCTCTTTTTCCAAATGCGATAGACGATGAGCGAGGCCCGCCACGGTGCTGTCGAGAAGATCTGAACGCGCACGCTGTGCATGGACCTCCCCATCAACCCGTCGAAGCTGCTGATTGAAGCGCTCCTCATACTTTTCCATGAGCGGAACTGTGGCCGCGCTGAGTGCGGCAGGAAGCTGGGCCAGGATGGTCTCCATCGCCTTCTGTGTGGAGGCCTGCATGGCCTCCGCCTGAAAAGAGTCTGTAGATTGGGCAACACTGCTGCCCCCGTCATGTGTTGTGGTTCCATTGGACATAGCTGCCGTAGCCCATGGATCAGGCGCACGGCCTTCAGCGGGGGTGCCAGGAGTCGCCCACGGCCTCGAAGCTGGTGGAGTCGGCCAAGGGGACGGAGAGGGCGAGGCTTTCGCACCTCCAGCTGGGACATGCCCTTCATCGGCAGGGACGGGGGTGGCAATGCCGAAATGCTGCGTGCCACAAGAGCTGTCGACGATGACGGGAGAAGCGCCACGGCCAGCACTGCGGGACCGCCGAGAGCCTTCCGCTGATGCGTCGCTGGCAGCGGGGAGGTATCGATCCCGCGTCCGAATGCGATCACGTTCACGGATGTCAAGAGCACCGTGAGAATCCCGAAGATCACGCGGCCGCTCCGATGGAGAAGGAGCACGTGGAGTGGATGATGCAGAACGTGATGATGCCGTCGGCGCCCTTCGCTCCTCCTTCGCCTTGCGAGACTTCCGTTCATGACGACTGCCGCCCATGGGCACCTTCAAGTACTAAGAGCGGCGGGACTCAAGACGGCAGCGCGGAGCTCCCCGCCCAGGTCCTGAGAGAGGGTGTCGGGCTGAACAGCCCTGGCACTGCCGCGGACTAGCGGTATCCACTTGTTCCCCTGCGGAACTTAACATCTTGAGCCAAAATGGCTACGGAGGAGGAGGAGGAGGAGGAGGAGGAGGAGGAGGAACAGCAACAGCAACAGCAGCAGCAGTAGCAGCAGCAGCAGCTGCAGCATCAGCGGCAACAGGAGCAGCGGATGAGTCCATTGGAGGACTCTGATGCCACCACCAGCCCGAGCCCGAGGGGAGACTGGGGTTGGGGCTCGAGGGCGAGGGCACAACCAAGAGAAACGCGGCGGAGTGTCAGTCCGAGCAGGAGCGTGTGGGCGGCATCCTGCGAAAGACACGGACGCCAGAGGGCACTGCGGTGAGCCCGGGCTGCGCGATGGGCGATGGCGTGGGGGCGGCGCTCGACCGCGAAAGGTGGCGGATGCGAGCGTCGCGGGGGCTGGATGATGGAGGGAAGGAGGAAAAACGGCACCGTCAACTGCGATGGGGCATGAAATCGTAGAACGCGTCATTTGCACCTCGGCGCAATCTCACCGCGCCCGGTACGGAAGTGGCCCAGCTCGTGTTACCCTGCATGCCGTTGGAACTGGCCCGCGGCGCACGCGTCAAAAGATGCTGCGCTTCGGCGCTGTGCCGCGTCGGCTTGGGGCATGTCAGCGCGCCGCTCCGATGCCAAGCGGGACCCGTCCTTCTTGGGGCGCGGTCGCGCCCGTGCGCGCGCTCCCCTCCGCAGCCAATCGTTGTGGGCCGTCGAAGTAGGCTGGACTGGCATTTGCTGGCACGCCCACGACGCGCTGATGATGCTGATGGTGATGATGATAATTCTGATGATGATCAGTACTCTCGTGAGCGCTCGAGTTCGCGAGCTATAATGTTCGATTCGCAAAGCCTGCACATTCGGATCCACGCTGGCCTGTGCTTACAATTATTGTTTTTGGAAAGCGGCGTGCGCTTGGAATGCGAGGAGCCTCTTCGTGCACGCCTTTTCATGCACGCCTCGGGCTTGTCTGGGAAATCGGCAGAATCCTCATTGCACCTGTCGGGCACGTACTCCTCTTCAACCTGCCATTGCTTCACGCACTCGTGCAGGCGGACGCTGTCTTTGGCTGTCTCCGCCATCTGGCACATGAGTTCGCGAAGCGCTGCCGTCGAAGCGGTCGTGGAACTCGCCATCGAAGCCGCTATAGCTGCTGCCTGCGAACCCGTCGACACGTCAGCCCGCGAGGCCGCCAACGAAAGTGACATCGACTTCACAGGCGTTGGCGAAGAAGTCGAAATGGCCGTGGAAGTAGGGGCAATAACCGGAGAGGCCAATGAATCAGAAAGAGACGCAGCCGTATACGTTGTCGCCGGCAACCGCTGGCCTCAAGCTCCACGAGTAGTCACTGCGACAGGAGCAGCAGGTACATCTGCTCTCGACCTCCAGGTTGATCAGCAGGAACTTCCTCAGAGTGACGAGGTCCACCATGGGCTTATGCCAAGTGCTGCACCCACACTTGCTTCGGTGATCTGCCTCGTGTCGTTGTAGGCATAGTCAAGGCTGACCCGCTTTCTGCAGAGCTTGCCATCAATGTGTTTGAGCTGCTTGCAACGCAGAGCTGCTTGTGCCATACCTTCAAAATGCAACGCAGAGGCGTCGGAGAGCGCCCGCAACAGTTGCGAGTGTAGTGCGTGCGCCAGCAGACGTGGCTCCATGGCAGCATGGTAAAGTGATAGCAGAAGGGCCTTACAGGCGCGTGCCGAACGAGTGGGCCAGGGCCCACCACCTTTCGCCGAAAATGGCTACGGATGTTGATGATGACGATGATGATGGTGCTGATGATGAAGATGATGATGGTGAGTATGCAGATGGTGGTAGTGGTGGTGGTGGGAGGAGATGAAGGAGGAATTGTGTAAACTTAAGACCCATGAGCGATGTTAGCATTAACTTTTTTTAAAATTCCCTCTTCATAGGTCCCAACAAAAGGTCTACTTTCACTGGGGGAAGTGCCCCGCTGGAGGACAACCGTCTGGAAATCTTGAACCGTGCCAGACCATTCCTGGGGCTTCAGCGCCGCGAATCGAAGTTACTACTGCGTCTGGACGATACTGAATCGTGCCAGAGCGCCATGCCTGGGGCTTCAACACTGCGAATCAACGTGACTGTCGCGCCCTGACAGTTCTACATCCGTCCAAACACCGTTTCCCGGACGCAGCCATAAGATTTCTGGGAAGTGTTGTAAACTCTTAACACGAATGTGCACGGCGCTAAAGCGAGAATCGCCTTTTTAAAGAGGTACCACCCATCATCCGTGAAACTCTTGCAGACTTCTAGAATGGAAGTGCGCGGCGCTAAAGTGATAACCACACCGTGAAACTCTTGGACACTTTTACAACGAATATGCGCGGCGCTTGGGCGAGAACCCCATTTTTAAAACGGCCCGCCCTCTATCCGTGAAGCTCTTGCAAGCTTTCAGAAGTAAAATGCGCGGAACTGAAGCGAGAACCATATTTTGAAAACGGCCCGCCCTCCATCCGTGAAACTACTGCAACTTTTAACATAACATGTTACAAATGGCGGGGACGTCTCAAGCGAAATGCCTGGGCCGTCCTAGCGACACTTCTTGGGGTGCGACAGGGAGGAATTATTTATAAGGAGGAAGGGTAGAGGAATGAGAGAGCAGAGTGAGGGAGGAGAAGCAGGAGGAGAGAATGGTGGAAGAAGAACGGAAGAAGAGGAGGAGGAGGCAGGGATGGGTGACGAGGGATCCGCCGGCCCCCTTGTGGGGCCACCAGGCTGTAGGCGCGGGTTCGCAGTTTCCTGTTCCAGTCGTAGGTTGTAGTTTCCAGTGTTACAGTTCTGCTTCTTGCTGGTTACTGTAACTAGTTGACTTCTTGCTGGTTACTGTAACTAGTTGATTGACCGCGCGAGGGGGGGGGAGGCCCAAACAAGACTTTTAGCGTCCCCTGGGCGCGTTGTCTGAATTGCTGGGGGGGCTCGAAATCGACACCCCTCACGCAGATCCGCGGGGTCAGGGTCCAAAAACACAGGGGATTTGCCACATTTCTGAAATTCGGTGCCACCCCTCACGCAGATCCGCGGGGTCAGGGTCCAAAAACACAGGGATTTGCCACATTTCTGAAATTCGGTGCCACCCCTCACGCAGATCCGCGGGGTCAGGGTCCAAAAACACAGGGATTTGCCACATTTCTGAAATTCGGTGCCACCCCTCACGCAGATCCGCGGGGTCAGGGTCCAAAAACACAGGGATTTGCCACATTTCTGAAATTCGGTGCCACCCCTCACGCAGATCCGCGGGGTCAGGGTCCAAAAACACATGGGATTTGCCACATTTCTGAAATTCGGTGCCACCCCTCACGCAGATCCGCGGGGTCAGGGTCCAAAAACACATGGGGATTTGCCACATTTCTGAAATTCGGTGCCACCCCTCACGCAGATCCGCGGGGTCAGGGTCCAAAAACACAGGGGATTTGCCACATTTCTGAAATTCGGTGCCACCCCTCACGCAGATCCGCGGGGTCAGGGTCCAAAAACACATGGGATTTGCCACATTTCTGAAATTCGGTGCCACCCCTCACGCAGATCCGCGGGGTCAGGGTCCAAAAACACAGGGGATTTGCCACATTTCTGAAATTCGGTGCCACCCTTCACGCACATCCATCGCAAGGCGTGGTAACCCAAACTGCGAGAACTCCCTCGGCCCTTTAATCGCAAGGTGTGGTAACCAAGCCCGTAAACCATACACGTCTTACCAATCGCCAGGTGTGGTAACCCCTCTTGTGATCAGTTGGTTTTGCTGATTGCGAATCGGCTTCGCATGAAGTTTCGATACTGCTTCACGACAGCGCCAAGGCCTCATGACTTAGCTCTTCCATGGCCCATTCTCCGAGAGAGGGGGCCGGCGGCAGGGGGCGAAGCCCTTACGGATAAATGGAGGAGGGTATAATGTATAATGTACATGGTGGAATCCATCGCGAGAAATTCCAGGCGCGAGATCCGAGCCGACTCGGCACAGCGAAGGCCGTCCCCGTGTAGAAAGTCCTGGAACCTTGCCTCCCAGCAAGGTCCCAAGGGACCAATAATCGGAGGGGAGACGCATTGTCTGATTAGCAACTTTTTACCCGAAGCGTACGCGTGATCAAAGCACAAGTGTGCTCAACCAACTCTTCACCGCACGTGCGCAAGGGTTCCATCCACACTCCTCCGACATTTTACTGGTCCACCGCTTGGGCGCTGGACCGGTGTACAGGCTTCCTGGCCCTCCCCAGGGGTATGCGCACTGGGCCAGGGCCCAGGACGGGCCCGACATTACTGGTGGTAGTGGGCTCTCGAGAAGGGCAGGAGGCTTTTGGAGTGCGCGCCCAACTTCCCTCGTGTTAAATCGGGCCTGTCCCTCTAGAGGAGGAGCATTCAAAAATAGTAAAACAATAATATGGGGACGATTTTGAAAAGTATTTTTTGACTATTTGGGAGCATTTTTGAATATGTTTCATTTTTCGCCCAACATCCGCGGGGACATGCCCGACCTAACCCTTGTGTCTGGAGCCGGCTCCTCGAAGTGGACCGGCGCAGTCGGGCAGCACCGTCCTTTCCCATCCCTTTGTTGATCCTGCGCGCGCGCGTGCTGGCACGGGGGAGGGCCACGGCCATTCCGACTCAGGCCAGTCTGGCGAGGCGACGTGGCCGCCGAAAGCTCACCCAGAGCGCCTGGAAAAAACTAGCTATCCTTAAGTCGGGCGTGTCCCCCTGCAGGCGGATTTTGGACACAAAATATCACCCAAATGCTCAAACATACTCAAAACATCGTTCCCACACTATTTTTTGGCTGCTTCTGAATACTCCTCCTGTAGAGGGACAGCCCCGACTGAAGGCTATCCCCTAGCACAGGCTTGAGAGCGTCATTCGCCGAGTTGCAGGAGGCGCGGGAGGAGCAGCGGGGTCCCCCGAGGCGCGGGCCCGCGTGCACGCGCGGGCGGGCGCTCGCCGAGCCCGGGCGCGGCGAGGCCACGGCCGTCGAGGGGAGCGCGCAGGAGCCAGAGCGGAGGAGCGGCCCCACCTGTGCCGACGGCTCCTCCAGGTCGAGCTCGCTCAGGCCGCCTCCGCGCAGCGGGAGGGCGGAGGAGTGCTGGGCGAGGGGGGTCCAGGGGGGGAGGGGGATACGGGAGTTGTGGGGCAGGTGGCGGGGGAAGTGCTGGGGGCGGGAGTGGTGGGGGAGGGGGAGTGGTGGTGGGAGAGGAGGGGGATGGGGGTGGGAGGGGAGGCTGAGGAGGAGCGTCAGCAGGAAGAGCAGGAGGGTGAAGATGAGGGAGGGCGGTGACGAGGAGAAGGCACCACCGAGGCAGGGGGGAGGCGCGCAAGTGCTCCGGGGCGGCGTCAGAAGTGCCCACCCGGGCCTGCAGAGGCCCTCCCCTTCGCCTGCTCCTGCAGCTCCTTCTTCTCCCCTCTCGTCCCTCCTCGCTTTCTCTTCCTCCTCCTCGCCTCCGTCCTCCGCAGCATTCTCCCGGTCCTCCCCGCCTGCCCCCCCCTCACGGGATGAGCAGGGCCAGCAGGAGCTGGGCAGCAGGAGGGGCAGCGGCAGCAGCAGCACCAGGGGGGGGGGCGGAGCAAGCAGCATAAGCCGAGGCGGGAGCGGTGGCAAGGCAGGAGCGGCAGAGGCAGCAGGAGGGGCAGGGAACAGCAGGAGCGGAGCGCGGTGGCCCACCCACGACTGCCACGATCCTCTCCTCCATCTCGGCCGCGGTCAGCACGCTGTGGATGCCGCTGGTGTCCGCCTCGCGCCGCTGGTGGGCGTCGGTGCGGGGGGGGCAGCGGTAGAGGATTAGAGGGCAGAGAATCCCCCCCCATGGCAATCACCCTGGCAAGCGAAGCCGTTTAGCAAACGCACCCGAGGGAGGGATCCAGCAGGGCAAGGCTTTTGGTAAACGCCAATGGCCGTTCAGTAAACGCCAATTGTCCGGTCCAGGTGGTTCTCCTCCGTTGAAGGATGCCACATCGTGATCTGCCTTGGGGCCTCGTGGTGGGACGTGCGACTCTCCGACATGCTGAGCGCCGGCTGGCCGCGAGAGAGCTGCAGGGAGCGAAACGTCTAGGTAGGTTCGGGGGCGCGCAAACATGGATCGGGGGAGGTGCCCTCCCCAAAATGCGGCCAGTGCCGCCTCGCTCGGCGGCAGAAATCAGTGATTTCCCCTGGAAACGGGACCCGTCGCTAATCCACGCCCCCTTCATCCATGCTTGCGATCGCCTGACAGGTGCTGCGCGCCGCACCCCGGCCCGAGCACGCGCCCCACAGACAGGCGAGGCACCGGTCGGACGTGTCAACCCAAGCCTGGAATCAAGAGGACACGCCTCGTGGCCGTGGAAGCACACCAGCATGCATGCACAGGTCTTGCATGTCTGCAACGAAGCAGTGCATCTCGGCGTGCAGAGTTCCAACATCCCGACGGACGGGAGTGGGGGCTCCACGGTGCAACAGCCCAGGGGGCGGGACATGGGGAAGAGCAAGGACGCGCAACAACGTCGAGCCCACCCGTCGGTCGGCAGAAGTGGTAGAAGAAGTAGGAAGGCGTTGGAAATAGAGTCAAGCATATGATTAAGACAATTATCAATTCAGAAAGCTGGGCCAGCTTTTCAGAAGTTTCTTAAGGAGACGCTCGGCCAGCTCTTGGAACCAGGCACGTACGTTTATTCATTTCTAGGATCCAAGGCTATCAATCCCCTAAAGAAACTGAGCCAGCTTCCCAGCACGTTGGTTAATACACGCTGGGCCAGCTTTTCGGGGGGAGGTTACTTAATCATAAGCAGGACCGTAGATGGGGCTTCCGCCAGCCCCCTGAAAACCGCTCGACTCTTGAAGTAGGAAGGCGGCTAAAGTAGACTGGGGCATGGGACTCCAGAAATACCTACTTTCAACAATCGGCGTGCGTGTGTGTGTGTGTGTGTGTGTGTGTGTGTGTGTGTGTGTGTGTGTGTGTGTGTGTGTGTGTGTGTGTGTGTGTGTGTGTGTGTGTGTGTGTGTGTGTGTGTGTGCGTGTGTGACCTTGTTCTTCGCCGCCGCCCCCCACTCAACAAGCAACTGCCGCAGAAAAACTGCCGACAAACGCACCAACGAAGGCACCGTGACCGTGGGCAGCCGTCACCAGAAGCTTCGGCGAAGCTCGCGGGCCCGTCAGAAGGAGAAAGACGGCAGGGAGAAGGGCGGAACACAAAAGCAACGCCATGGAGAACGGGCAACGGTGTTGTGTGTACACTCGTCTGAGATCCAGCCGGCCAACAATGCAACGGAACATGGAATGGAGCTAGCAGGCTGGGCCTTTCTCAGGTGATGTGCCCAGCCACTGAGAACTGTCGAAGATACAAAAACTGCCTGGTCGATGGAATCTCGGGGGGGCACGGTGCCATCCCGACGGACGGTCATATACCTTATAGAGTCCCTCGCCTCATCCGGCCACATCCCTCGTAGATTGCCACATTCCAAAATTCAGCTCCTCCTGCGACCACCCGGAACTCTCCCCCTTGTCCACACGCTCATTTTTATGTCCTCTTCCTCTTCCTCCTCGCCCTTCGCCTCCTCCCACTCGTGCTCCCCCCTCCTTCCTCTCTCCCCTCGTCTCCTCTCCTCCCTCCCACTGGCAGTGGGACTGCAAGCTTAGCGACAACAGCTCCTGTCTTGCGTGCGGCAGAGCACCCGGCTCGCTCGGACATCAGCGCGCTGCATGTGGCATGTACGAGCTCGGATGCAGCCGGACCTGGGCCAGAATAGCATCCCTTAATCACAGGAGGCCCTCCGCTGGCCCAAACATGCGCTTGTCCGTCACAGCGCGGCAGAGGCAATCCACACGCGCGCCCGACTGACGCTGGGGCACGAGGTCACGAATTCACCCACACGCAAGGAAGGGGAGGAAGGGAAGGCGGGCGGCCGCGGCGAGGGAGGCAACCAGGGGCGCGGGGCCCGCTCGCGCGGCGGGGCAGCGGCGGAGGGCGGGGAGCGGCCTGGCTGAGGACCACGCTGGCGGCGGCTGCGGGGCGGCGTCGCAGTGCGCCCAGGGCGGGGGCCAGCAGCCACAGAAGGGGCGAAGCCCGTGGGATTGGCAGGCCACGGCGGGTGCAGACCAGGAAGCCGACGGCAGGAGGGACAGGGCAGCGGCGCGGGGCCAGCGACGCAGTCGGCCGGCGCGCTGCAGGATGCCCAGGCAATGGAGGCAAGCGGCTCCGCGGGGGGGCGGCCAGAGCACTCCGGATGCGGGGCGAAGGGGGAACGGGGCAGAGAGAAAGAGGCGCCACTCGTTGCCGGTGCACGGCATCACGGCAGAAGTGCAGCCTAGTGCAAGCGTCGCGCGGGCTAGCCCTCAGAGCGAAGGAAAAAGGGAGCCCAGCCGGCGGACGGGCTGCGTGGGCAAGGCGGGGGTGGGCCGCAGTAGCGGAGGCCCGAGAGGCGAACGGTGACTGCGATGAGGGCAAAACCACCAGTGGCGCAAGGGGCCGTAGCGCTCACGTGCCTTGAGGCACGGCGCGCGGGAGGGGGGCGGGCAGCCAGCGGCCGGTGCGCAGCAACACGGCCTGGGGCGGCAATAGAAGCCGAGCCGCTTGACGGGCCGGCCAAAAGAAAGCGGGAGGCGAACCGCAACGGCGGCGACCCCTAAGTGGGCAGCGGTCGCCGCGGGCAGGGGTAGGCCCCCTGCCAGCTGCGCGGGCTCTTGGCGCAAGCCCGGCGGGGAGGTCGGCCCAACCTCGTTCGCTTGGCAGCGGGCGGTGGGCCCGAGGCAGGGCGGAACGGGGGGGGGGCGGGGGGTGGGGCCGCCAGGTCTCGCCCGCGCAGCGCCTGGGTTGGACGCTGCGCGGGGGCGCGGGCGCGGCGGCAACGCCGCCTGGGCTGGAGGGGCGTGGCCCCAGCCAGCGGCGGGGCCAGGTTGAGCGGTGCACCTAACTGGTGCGCTTGCTGGTGGGAACAGAGGGGCGGCGGCCGCCGTGCCCACGCGGGAGGGACAGCTGGCGCGGGTTGGAAAGCCCCCCGCGGTCGCAGCGCGGCCAGGTGGCAGGCGGTCCGCGCTGGAACCTAGGCCGGTGGAGTGCCGCGGCTGGCCAGGGTGGACGCTGCGCCAGAGGGGCGGGGCCACCTGGGTTGGAGGTTTCCGCAGATCCAGCACAACCTTGAAAACGGAAGCGCCTAACTGGCGCGCTTGCTTGTGGACGCACAGATGCGGCGGCCTCCCGGGTTGGAAGGCCCCCCGCAATCGCAGGGCGGCCAGGTAGCGAGCGATCCGCGCTAGAGTCCAGGCACGTGGAACAGCCACCTCCGGCCAGGGTACACGCGTCGCCAGAGGAGCAGGGCCCCCCTGGGTTGGAAAATCTCGCGGATCCGGCGCATCCAGGTAAACGGAAACACCTAACTGGTGCGTTTGCTGGTGGGGACTTGTGCAAAGCGCCTGGGCTGGGCGCCTGCGCGTATGCTGCGCCGCGGGCCCCAGCGGCCCCTTGCGGGCCGTCCAGGCCCCCCTGCGTGGCATGTCACGCAGGAGGGATTGATCTCCAGCGGGCCAGGTGGCTCACTGTGTCTCTGGCCTCCCTGCCCGTTACCAGACGTCTGCGCGCGCCTGTTCTGCTGTTGTCGCAAGGCAGTGTCCCAATCCACTTCCAGGTGCCGTTTGTAGCAGAGACGCAGGATGTCGCGGTCCATGGTGGCTAGAAGCTAGATCCTCCAGGAACGCCTGGCAGAAGGCGTCGTAGCTGATAGGGCTGTAGGTGCCCTTGCTGTGGCCTTTTCCCGCTCCTCCGATCGCATGCCCTCTACCGGCCTTCCACGAAGAGCGCGCCGCGCGTCCCCTTGAGGCGGTCTACCACCTCTGCCCACGTCTCAGTCCTGTCGTCTTGTCGGTGCCATTGCCCTCTGGATGTCGGCCCTGGGGTGACGGCGCAGCCCGTCTGGGCGTTTGCTCCAATCCGTCAGTGGCACCACTGGCGTCACCCTCTGCCCAGGAGCGGTCCCATTGGCGGTCCTGTTCTCATGGTCCCAGTCTGGACCAACTGGCCTCCCCTCGTTCCGGCAGGGTGGGTCTCGAGGGCGTCTCGATCTCGTGCCGCGCGCCTGTGACTGGGGGCCCGGCTGTGCTGTCAGCCGCCCGTGCGGCTTCCAGGCCGGGATTGCTTGCTTCGCCTCTGGTGTCCCCGCGAGGTTTGCCTCTTTTGGTGGGCCTGGCGAGGTGCAGTTCACCGCTCCCATCCCGCGCGGTTAGGCATGAGCCGCTCATGCGGGCGGTGACGCGGGTGCCTGGGTGCACCTCCGACTGGCCCCAGGGCCATCCCATTGGCTGCGTCCGGGAAGAAGCGGTCTCCCTGCTGATCAGGCAGCGCGTGCCAGCTTGCGGCGCGCATGTCGCTCGCATCGTCCCTGGTGACCCTCCGGGGAGGCCGGGGAGGCTGGCCCTGGTGGGCCCCAGAGACTGAATGTCCCAACCGCCAGACTCGGAGAGGCACCGCACGGCGCACGCTTCAAGCCTTTGGCAATCGCGTCAGAGCCAAAACTGGGGGGCCGCCTCCGGCGTAACCGCGTCGTTGATGGCGTCCTTGATCTGCGTGCGGCTGATGCCAAGAGCAGGGAGGCCCGTGTCCCGGTAGGCGATCGTCGTAGCTTCATCACGTCTGGGATGTACTGTAAGAGAGAGAACGGGAGACCGGTTGGCCGAGATCCAGCCCTTGGCGCGGTCGGCTCTCCATGCGTGGTTGGGGAAGGCCCTCTCCAGGGCCTGGCCGATGCGCTTGCCGACGAGCTCCGTCGGGGACTTGTCAGGCCCCACACGCAGCTCCACATACCCATTGCCTGCGATCGCTGGGGCACGGATGCGGGACCAACTGCCATCACGATTGCGAAGACAGTCCAAGGCTTTCTAAACTCGGCGAGCGGCGGGCCCAGGTAGGCCCGTGAAATGAACCGTGAAGTATCCGGAGGTGTCTTGGCCCTGGACCTGGAAGTGCGCTTCCTCGATGCCGCTGTCAGTGATCCACTTGGTGAGGGCCTCTGTCGCTTTGTCGAGCGTGACCAGGCCATCAGCATGCACATTGACGATCGTGAGGTCCACGTCTCTGTCGAAGTCGTGGCCCACGAAGGTCTCCTGCATCGGCTGCTTGTTGGCCACCTCGAGAGCTCTCTGGAGCGCCACGATCTGGTCATACATGTGGGAGATGGCCTTGTCGGTCTGGTCCTGGCGGCTCTCGATGTCCCCATGCGCTGGGTGAAGGCGTCGAGCTGTTGCTGGAAGGACTTGCGGGGGGCGTCGATCTGCTGGCCCACGGCGAGGCCGATCTCTTGCTCGATCTTGCTCGAGAGGCCGTTGATGCCAGCTTGTGCCGCGGCGATGGCAGCAGTGATGGGGCCCGTGGCCGCGCCCATCGCCGAGGAGACTGAAGCATTGATGGTGTCCTTGATGGCCGACTCCATGGAGTCGAGCTTGTCTTTGAGGGACTGGACGTAGGCCATGGTGGCGAAGGTGTCGAGGGCGGCCTCATCATTGGGCGGCGGAGTCCTCGAGCGCTCACTCCGCCCAGTATGAGGATCAGCATCCGCATGACCCTTGCGCTTCTGGATGCCGCTGCGTCGGAGCGTCCCATCTGCGGCCGTGGCTGCGGGAGACGCGTCCGCCGCCATGGAATATAACAAAACTGCGGAGACGTACGATCCACGGGACACCCTCGTCCCGAGTATGCTCACATGCAGTCCGCGGACTAGCGGTCTCCCTTCGGCCTGGAGGCTGACAGCCTCCAAAGGTCGGCATCTTGAGCCAAAATGGCTACGGAGGAGGAGGAGGAGGGGGACGGAGAGAAGTGGGGGAGGGGGGAAAGGAGGGAGAGGATGGGCCGCTCCCTCCGTCTCCTCCCGAGAGGAGGAGACAAAACGCCTCCTTCGAGGTGGCGGCCGACGACGATCCGGGTCTCACCGCCGCCGCGGGCAGGAAGTCTGCGGTCAGCCGCTCGACGGCCTCCCCTCCCTCACATCTGCTCCTGGAGCTGGGCGGGGGCAAAGGGGTAAAGAGGAATGGGGTGTACTGCCACCCTCCCCCTTGTGTTCAGATGCTCAGATTCCCCTCCCCCTGCTTGTGCTTCCCTGTCCACGCCTCCTGCTCCCATCCTCCTCCTCCTCCTCCTCCTCCTTCCCCTCTCCCACCTCCGCCTTTCTCTTTCATTGTCCTCTGCACCCTCACCGCCTTGCTTTCCCCATGCTCCTCCTCTGGCTTCCCCACCTCCCCTCTCCCCCCCTCTCCGTCCCCCCCTCCTCCTCCTTCCCCCCCTCCACAATTACCCAATATGAATACTACTCTCCTCTCTCCCTTGGTGACGTCCGGGAAAAGTCCGGCCCCCCTACGCGTATGGTTTTTTCCCAACCATCCTGTGGTGTTGGGTCCTCGTTTTGAAGAGACGGTGCCCCGCGTTCCTCTCCTTCCTCCTCCCCCTCCTCCCTCCTCCCCCTCCTTGCCTCTGCTCTCGGCACACCTCTCACGCGTTTCGTAGCCCCATAGGGAGCTCCACCGAAGGCCCCAGTGGGGGTGTCCACATGCGGTTCCCCCACCCAGGGCAGCGTTTCGTAGCCCCATAGGGAGCTCCACCGAAGGCCCCAGTGGGGGTGTCCACATGCGGTTCCCCCACCCAGGGCAGCGTTTCGTAGCCCCATAGGGAGCTCCACCGAAGGCCCCAGTGGGGGTGTCCACATGCGGTTCCCCCACCCAGGGCAGCGTTTCGTAGCCCCATAGGGAGCTCCACCGAAGGCCCCAGTGGGGGTGTCCACATGCGGTTCCCCCACCCAGGGCAGCGTTTCGTAGCCCCATAGGGAGCTCCACCGAAGGCCCCAGTGGGGGTGTCCACATGCGGTTCCCCCACCCAGGGCAGCGTTTCGTAGCCCCATAGGGAGCTCCACCGAAGGCCCCAGTGGGGGTGCCCGCATGCGGTTCCCCCACCCAGGGCAGCGTTTCGTAGCCCCATGGGGAGCTCCACCGAAGGCCCCAGTGGGGGTGTCCACATGCGGTTCCCCCACCCAGGGCAGCGTTTCGTAGCCCCATAGGGAGCTCCACCGAAGGCCCCAGTGGGGGTGTCCACATGCGGTTCCCCCACCCAGGGCAGCGTTTCGTAGCCCCATAGGGAGCTCCACCGAAGGCCCCAGTGGGGGTGTCCACATGCGGTTCCCCCACCCAGGGCAGCGTTTCGTAGCCCCATAGGGAGCTCCACCGAAGGCCCCAGTGGGGGTGTCCACATGCGGTTCCCCCACCCAGGGCAGCGTTTTGTAGCCCCATAGGGAGCTCCACCGAAGGCCCCAGTGGGGGTGTCCACATGCGGTTCCCCCACCCAGGGCAACGTTTCGTGGCCCCATAGGGAGCTCCACCGTAGGCCCCAGTGGGGCTGCCGCATGCGGTCCCCCCCCACACAGGGCAGCGTTTCGTAGCCCCATAGGGAGCTCCACCGAAGGCCCCAGTTGGGGTGCCCGCGTGCGGTTCCCCCACCCAGGGCAGCGTTTCGTGGCCCCATAGGGAGCTCCACCGAAGGCCCCAGTGGGGGTGCCCGCATGCGGTTCCCCCACCCAGGGCAGCGTTTCGTAGCCCCATAGGGAGCTCCACCGAAGGCCCCAGTGGGGGTATTCGCATGCGTCTCCCCTACCCAGAGGTAGCGCCACCGAAAACGATATTCATATTTGCAATATTCACAACTGCATATGGTTGGGTCCTTCGCCAGGCTAATTTTACACACCGGATTCCCGGGAGCTGGGTTTTCATGTTTTTTTTGTTTCGAAATGCTGCTCTCGCTGAAAGCGCTGGCTTCATTTTCGGGCTGCCGCTCGTTCCGAATCGTGCTCCCGCTGCAGCGCTGGCCTCATTTCTGAGCTTCGGCTCGTTCCGAATCGTGCTCCCGCTGCAGCGCTAGCGTCAGTATTTCCAGCGCCATGCCACGGCATGGTTTTCGGTCCTTCTATATAGGGCCCAAAGCCTAAAAAAGTGTCGCCCGAGAAAACCATCGGAAGTGACTATACATTCGGTGACGATTGGTCGGTTTTTGGGGCCGCAGAAGCCCCCTCCACTTTGGGGCTTTGCCACGCCATGCTATGTCAGGCTACGCGTCCTCCGAATCGCGTTCCCGCTGCAGCGCTGGCCTCATTTCCGAGCTTCCGCCTCGTTCTGAATCGTGCTCCCGCTGCAGCATTGGCGTCTTCATTTCCAGCGCCATGCCACGGCATGGTTTTCGGTCCTTCCATATAGGCCCCAAAATCCAAAAATAGACCCCCGAAAAAAACCCATCGGAAGTGATTGCACATTCGGTGTCGATTCGTTGAATTAGGGGGGCCGCAGAAGCCCCCACAAGAGGACCTTGAACAACGATCTGGCTGGAAAGCGCCGATCCGACTTGACCCCGAGAGGGGCCCAGGGCCCAGTGTGAGCTGATTGTTCACGGAAGCCAGACCATCGAGCCTGGCAGCCTGCCGTACTATTTATTCCCTGACATCTGTCCTTGCCCGCCGCAGCTTCCCCCGCCACTGCCGCCGTCGTCGTTTGCGTCATTGTCGCCGTCGGCAATTTCTGTGCGTTCCCTGGAGCTTCTGGAAGTCTTCGGGCCATCCGCCACGCCTCGTGCAGAGCTGTCCGAGATTTGGAAGGGGGCTCGGGGAACGCAAGGCAGCGTGTCGAAAGGAAGGGGCGGGACCTTACGCTATTACAGTAGTCCTATCAGACGGCACTTGGCATTCGAAAGCGCCACACATCGGGCAAGCACGGTTGCGCAAGACATGGAGCCGGGCTTCCGGACAGGCCTTCTCCTTTCGTGCACGGGCCATTTACCCTCCAAGGCGCTCTCCCAAGGCATCCCGTGCCATGCCATGGCATGCAATGCGATGTTGCGTTGTGCTCCGCTGTGCGATACCATGCTTTGTGATGTTGCGCTTTGTGATGCAATGCTACACTCCGCAATGCCAAGCCATGCTATGACATGCTCTGCTCTGCCGCGCGCTTCTACACCATGCTATGCCGTGCTTTACCATGCATCGCAAACCCTCTCGGGATCATTGCCTTGCTCGACATCAGCCTGTGCGCATAAAGAAGAGATCTGCGCCATGGTAAGGGTTGGGAGGGAGGGGGTATGACGACAGATATGACGCGAGCGCACCTAGCTTGTCTCCTTGCCCCTCCCCTTCCTCCCTCCTCCTCGCGCGCGTCTTGGTCTTGGGGTGGCCAGGGGCTACTCCTTGACTCGCTCACCAGGTCTCAAGCTGTGGCGCAGCTTCGATAAGACCTTCCTGCGCGTTCAGCTTCAAATGTTGCCCTGGTTGAAGCCGAGAGAGCATCACGCTACGACTCAACATCCCCCCATCCACCTCCTCCCGCTCCCTCCTTCTTCCCGTCCACTTCTACCACAAAAGGTGGTCTCTCTCCCTCCTTCCCTTCTCCGCCGTCTCGTCTACCGTCCTCCTCCTTACCCTGCCTCTCTTCCTCATCACACCCCACTCTCTTCCATCTCGTGGTCATCCGCTGGCCGTCGCCAAGCTTGGCCAAGGACAATAGACGCGATGAGCTGCAAGGATGCAGAATGAGGAGGGGGCGGGGGGAAGGGACAACCGACCGATGATGGGCAGGAGTGGGAGGAGGGGGAGGCACATGGGGTAGAGGAAAACAACGAGCAGAACGAGAAGCAGGATGATGACGAGCAGGAACATGTCTATAGTATCTGAAGCATCCCACACATATCAACGATATTGCAACACACGCTCCCGTCCCAAGTCCCCTACTCATGCATCCTCTCAAGCATAAGTTTTCAATATGGGGGCTGGTCCCTTCAACAGAGAATACACAACGGGCCTGGAACTCAAGCGTGCCCCTATCATTTTGAAAAAGAGTTGCCTCGTCTATCCTGAGGGGTTCTATGGCAAGGTGTAGCGCGATGAAACCTGAAGGCGCTGTAACTATATTTGCCAGCGTGGGCCCCGAAGAGTGGGCAATTGCACTCTGTAGGTGTAGGCGTGGTGCAAGCTTTGTGGGACAAGCTCCGTGGTGCAATTCATTCTAAGAGCTTGGAATTGTCAGCCCCACTGCTCGAACAAATCCTACCCTCACACCCGCATCCTGATGTCCGAAACCCATGCGGCGGCGATTGCGATGACTGCTTGGCCGCGGCTGGCGCTTCTCTGCGGCCGCGCTGGCGCGCGCAAGCTTGCGCGCATAGCGGACTGCCGGTTTGACACGACCGATGCGGCCGCGATGGCGCTTACCAGTGGCAGCGTCCCACCACGTATCAAAAGCCGCGCTGGTGCGTGGGCACTTCAATGCGGGTCGATGGTTCGGGCGTTCGCGGTATAATAAGGTCGTGGGCAATGGCGGCAAAGATGATGATAGCAGCAAGCGTGGGGGCGATGATGACGATGACGACGGTAAGGTCAATGACAGTGCCGACGCTGGAAACGCCGATGACGAGGATGATGTCAATGTCGCTAATAGAAATGCGTGGGTGATGATTGCGGCAATGGCGGCGATTGTCGATGACGATGACGTGATGCGGCGACGCTATTGAAGGTGATGCTGAGGAAGCGCGAGCGCGAGGAAATTCAACCACGTGCAATCTTTCAATTGAAGAACGAACGTTTGTTTTCAGACGTCGTGAACGGCAATATTTTGAGATGCTTCGGAACAGTGAACTTTCGAAGGATTTCGATAAGCTCGCGTGGCAGGTCGCGTGTGGCCCACATGGTATTCGTTGATCCAGGTTCGTGCAGTGGGCGCATGCTGGATCAACGTGGGTGAACCGCGTGGCTAGGATGAGAATGCGGCATCTGGGCGAAATGGCTGAAACAATGTTTCATACGATTTCAGCACATTCGCGCGGGCAGAGCATCTGCAATATTGGTGTTCTTGTTGACGTTGTTGTTGTTGTTGCTGCTGCTGTTGTTGTTGTTGTTGGTGTTGTTGTTGTTGAACATTATTAATTCTAAAGAATAATTATTGTTGGGCCC